ATTGGCTCTGGTCCATTCGTGCTTCACACAGCCTCTCCCAACAAACACATCTGTCATTGGTGGCTACCATAAGACTGTAAAATTGCTTTATTATTCCATACGATAACAAACAGACTAGTTCACAAAAGGTGAGATCCATTTACCAAGTTTAAGTCAATGGTTGAATACATGATCTGAATTTGTGATGTAACCAACTATACAGAATGGTGTTTCACATCAGTTTAAATGTTGGTTCTACTGTTGTGAAATCTTCGGCCCTAACTTAATGTAGTTACTGAAGAGAAGTGACCGCTTGGAAGACTTAGGCGTAAATGCAAGAATAATATTAAAATAGTTTTGTAGAAATTATATGGACTAGATTCAATAAGGACTCTACTCCATGCACTTTGTCAGGTAATTGATTTTAGTCAGGAAGCGAAACTTACAGAACTCCACACTGGTGTTATGACATGCTGTTTCCTTGTAAAAAAAGATTTGAAGAAATTACTTACTCAGGAAAGTTGGTTTGTCAACTTGAAAATTAATTAGCATCGTCTGACCGTTCTGCAAATTTGTATTTATTTAATTTGTAGGCTACAATACAATTTGTATTGGCTAACGTATCCAAACAGCCAAAAGCCCTGAGGAAAAGCAAGGATTTTTTTTAAACTTTGCGAGATTCGAAATCGGGACCCCCCCTTGAGCACGAAGAGAGTGCTAGCCACTCGACCGCGAAGTTTCGTGCAGTGTGGAAGGACAGCCAATTGCACTTCAGCAATAGGAACGCATCGACAGTGTGTCGTGTCGATCTGCAGCAATTTGATCGATAATTGCGAGTGTTTGTTGGAAGAGCTGCCTCAGTTATCAAGCTAGAACTTTTGTCTACAATATAAGGTTATCAAGACATAATCGTGTGCGTTGCCTCATCGATGCTACCTTCGATATCCTGTTTCGTTATTTCAGCCAGAGGTGAGCATTCTCCGTGTCATTGGCACTGTGCATGTGGCAACGCGTGTCTTGTATGGCCACTGTGTCGTTCATGTTGGGTTTGGGTAGAATTTCGGTCGTGGATCGGATACAGGTGGTCCCCGAAAGAATCCATTGTGACTGAACTGGCTAGTTGCTGTAAATACTTTTTTTGGAAATGATCATTGACGTTTTCCAGGTAACGTAAATCACAACTAAATTTCATGACTTGTTTTCTGGGAGCTGCTTTACAATTAATTACTGATTTTGATGTAGTGAACAAAAATAATTAGATGTGCTCGTTTCTATACCGATTGGCTCAAGTTTCACTGCTGTAGTACAACTTTATAAAATTACAGACTCTGTAAAAGAGAAAATAATTTCGTGTAAGATTTGAGGTTTTCACAGCGGTGAGTATCAAGATTTCTGTCTTCTGGGTTGTTGCGCTGTGTAGTCTGGTCGATGTTAACCAACGTTTCAGAGGTCATACTGCCTCCGTCATCAGAGTATGAAGTTTTCTGTCTTCTGGGTTGTTGCGCTGTGTAGTCTGGTCGATGTTTACCAACGTTTCAGAGGTCATACTGCCTCCGTCATCAGGGCGATGAATATCGACCAGACTACACAGCGCAACAACCCAGAAGACAGAAATCTTCAAAATAATTTCGTGCTTTCAAATTGGGGAAAATCAGAACTTGGAAGCTCCCAGACTTGAATTCGTAAATATTTTAAACTATTCATAATTCACCATCAAGTATACTCTTTTATTAAATGTGTGTCTCATAAAAGAAATGTTTAACCTATATGAACAGGCCGTGCGCTTGTTTAATTTATCTATATAATTAACAGTGCTGTTTAATTGTTGATCGTTCGTTGAAAAGTGATTTTAGGCTTTGTGGTATAACATAACTGCTGCCATGCTGTTAATTTTAACGGTAACGCTGCCTTGTGGTAACACCACTTCAAAACTTTCTTAAATAACCAGATATGAGTTATGATTTTAATGTTTTTACGCTACTCTATCACAGTTTTTAATACAACTATGTTTTAATCGCTAGTTTAGAGGTTTCCGTCATTCTTCGCCTGCAGTTTTCTAGCGATCCGTATAAATCGCCAAAGAATCTGGAAGAAGGTTCATTGATAACACTAGACCCTACAATTTGCAGATACTTAGTGAGACGCGCAAGCACACAAACACATAACCTAAATCCAAGGACCAGAATCCTATTTGAGCGGTAGATCCATACTCAGATGTTCAAGAATTCTCTTACCCCTTTTATGGAACCAAAGGCGCATTACCGTGTTAACGAATTCTCCACTAAATTTCATCCGACGCCAGACAACCATTTCAAACCTCGTAGCCAGTGCCTGATCTATTTTAACATGCAATTATTTTCCTATGAATGTCCATGCGTCATATGTAGTCTCTTACATTTAGGTTTCACTGGTAAAATTTTATATACGTTTATTATGTCTCCCATCAGCCCATCTCATCCTCTTAACTACTTCACCATATTAGGGGCTATTTATATAGGAACGTAAATATAACGACACGAGCCCTTGCCGATTTTTCAGAAAATATTATTCAACGTTTTTCAATGGAACTGTTTAGGGAAAAATATCGTTGGAGACGTAAGTTGGGCGAGACTCGTTCGTGGAACGGACGAGCTCGGAGTCAATATAAACAGTTCCATTGAAAAACGTTGAATAATATTTTCTGAAAAATCGGCAAGGGCTCTTTTCGTTATCTTTACGTTCCTAAATAAATAGATCATTAGTAGTACTTAAGTCGTGTGGACTATTTGTTATGCGCTCGGCTAACTCGACTCTCTTCTCAGGCTGAACCTGTTTTGCCACTGTAATTCAGAAGGCGTGCTGAGTTATCTGAAATACGAATAGTTTACCTGGACCTGGTCAGGTCTGCATTCCATAGCAGTTAGCAAAATGCTTCTCAAGATGTCTTGCTAAGTCAGTTCATTGCATCACGCTTCGTACATGTGACTTTAGTTATACACGGGGATTGCGTTCCTGCAAATCACCGCGTATAACGAAAACTCGTAACACTGGGAGCGTATAATAATAGCCGTTTTGATATTAAACTGGCGCTTGTATTCTGTGACGCCAAGCTTATCAACTGCATCACATTCTCTGATAAGCCCTTGGTAAAGTCCGACGCATGTAATGAATGGACGTTAAACTTTGGCCGCGGATAGGATACTGAAATAACACTTCGGATATGTAAAAACGCAGATAGCGAAAGCGCGTATAATGAGAGTCGCTTACACATACGAGGTGCGATCGGAAAGTTTCTAGACTGCGCCTATAAAAACCCGTACACATATTTCAGGTATTAAATTCATCCATC